TGTTGTCTATTTCTGCATCAATCTTACCGTCTGAGGAGATGATGCTTCCCAGGTAATTAAACTGTTGGACTGATTTGAGTGCTGTTTCACCAATGGTGATATGGGGATGATGGAAGACTTCCTGAGGTGCAGGCTGATATAAAACTTCTGTCTTCTTCAAGCTGACTTCCAGACCAAAAAGCTCAGCAGCCTCTGCAAAGCAGGATGTTAAACCCTGCAGAGCTACTTCTGTGTGGGCGACGAGAGCGGCATCATCAGCGTAAAGCAGCTCACGGACAAGATGATTTAAGGTCTTAGTGTGGGCCTTCAGTCGCCTTAGGTTGAGAAGGCTCCCATTGGTACGATATCGAATGTAGACACCGTTTTCAAAATCGAGGTCTGCCGTGGCCCTTTGGAGCATCGTGCTGAAGAAGATCGTGAATAAGGTTGGAGCGAGAACGCAGCCTTGCTTCACACCATTAGCTATTGGAAACGGCTCAGAAAGTGCATCCCCATATCTGACTTGACCGCGCTGGTCCTCATGAAGCGAGATGATCATAGACACTCCATTATTTGTTATGTGTATGCATATATCTCTCTGATTTTTCTTCAGGAACACCTAGCAGAAGCACAAAACCATAAACAGAGGAGAATATCTGAGATGCTCAGAACCAGCTAGGATAGTATATGACAAATATTCACCTCAGCTATTGAAAAAAAAAAAAAAAAAAAAGAAATCCAGTTTAGAAGATTGCCTGGTGCCTGTTCCACCTCTGGTCAGCAAGAGTTCCTCGCTACAAAGTCAGTTGCTTTGGATTCTCCCCCACAGACACACACACCAGGAAAAGGGTCAGAGTCCTCATTTAGGTTAATATAACCCTAATGCAAGCTATTTCCTCAGCTTTGCTATTCTGCTCCTAGACTACAGAAACCCAGTTTCCACAGCCTTCACGTCATTGTTTTCCTGCCTTGCTTCTCTTCCCTCTGGATTCTTTCCAGCTGTTTACGCTTGTGTCAGGTGGTAAAAGTGGCCTTTCCTGTCCAGCCTCTGTCCGGGCAGGAGGGCACTGCCTGCTCCTCCGGTGGCTCCCGGGCTGTGGGTCAGGCCTGTGGGCAGGCACGAGTGGACAGCCAGCTTTATAAGATATACAATACATAACGTTGTATATAAACCCACAGCAACTAAGTGGAAAATAATCGCTATTGATGCTATGTTTCTAATTAGCTAGCATAGCTGTGAAAGCCCTCAGCACTCCCCAGACACACACCTGCAGTGCGACTCTCTGAACAACGATACTTTCCTCCCATTAACACCCTTTTCCCCCCTTTTCACGGCAAACCCCGCTCGTTTCCCGGCAGCGCCGCCGGGCCCGTCCCTGAGGGGTTACCCGAGCTCCGCCCCCAGCGCGGGCGGGCGGGCGCTGCGGGCGCTGATTGGCTGCGGGCGCTGCCGGCCGAGTGCTGATTGGCTGGCACAGGGCACGGCGGCGTTGCCGTCCTGGGGGGCGGCGGCGGCCGCGGGTCCGGCCCCGATCCCGACCTGATCCCGGCCCCGGCCCCGGCCCCGGCCCCGGCCCGGCCATGCTGTGCTACGGGGATGGCCTGCTGAGCTCCCTGACGGTGCTGCTGGTGGTGGTGCTGGCGCTGAGCCGCAGCCCGGCGCTGGCGTGCCTGCTGCCGGCCGGGCTGTACCTGGCGCTGCACCTCTTGTCGCTGGAGCCGCCGGAGCCCCGGAGCGCCCAGCGCGTCCTGCAGCCCCGCGGCTCCGCCGCCCGCGTCGCGCACCGCGGCGGCGCCCACGACGCGCCCGAGAACACGCTGGGCGCCATCAGAAAGGTCAGCGGGGCCCGGGGGGCGGGCAGGGCCTGGGCCGGGCGGGGCGGGGGGAGTTGCGAGGCGAAGCTGCCAAACGGTCCGCGGGGCCTCGCGGAGCCCACATGGCCTGGTGGGTGAGCGGTGAAACGGGCGGGCAGCGATTCGATCTGGTGGGTAGTGTTCGATGATGCGTGCAGGTGCCAAGCCTCCCTCATCCTCAGAATTTCCAGATGTCCTTCCGACATTAGCAGGAAGCTGATCGGAGGCTGGTCGGCCCTTCATCCCCAAGGGGATTCAGATAAGATCTGAGTCCCGGGGGAGCTGTTATAGCCTTGGTGCTGATGGATATTTCAGCAGTGAAGCAGATTTGAAATACTGTCTTTTGCTGATGTAGCAACAGCACACAGAGAGAGGACAGCAACTGGGTAACAGGCTGTGCTTTTTAAATCTCGAAGATCTGTAATGAGAAGCCACAGTTATGGGAAAATCTGACACTGAGAGAACTTCACTGTGTGTCGTCCTGCCATGACTTACTGCTGCCCCATCTGCAAGATATCAAGGCACAGCCAGGGGTCACAGTGTTCCTGGGAATCATTTGAAATCGTGTTTAGCAGTTTGTCTGTGGGGGTGAGATGATGTTGCTCTGATGGTCTGTTACCTTTGGGTGAGGGAGGGCTCTTTGTTCTGGTACATTCTGAAGTTGCACAATCCTTACATGTCAGACACCTGTAGGGTTACCTCTAGTGCTTACCTGGCATTTGTCTTTCTGGTGCATTGTCCTTTTTCCCAGGAGGGCGTTTCGCCTTCAGAACAATTGGTCTTGATTGCACTTCACTCGAGTGTTTTCCTGAGGAGTTCCTGGGAAAGAGCCAGGGCAGGAGCAGGATATATGAAATGTTCTAAGGCAGCCTGGCTGCTCATTCCTCAGAGAGGAGCAGGGATTTGCCTCATGCATCTACTACTTAGTGCACACATGTAACTTAGGAAACAGCGTTTGCTGTTATCCTGTAGATTTTGTAAACTGTAGGCATTTGCTTCCCTTCTCTTTTAGAAAATAACATAAGGACTCTGGGGTTATTACATCAGGAGTGAGCAGGATTCTTTTCCACATTTTTATCCTGAAACATTCCCAGTCCCAATACTGAGACATTATCACTATGGTTTTATCTCTAAAATAGATTATATGCTCTCCACTGATCTGTGAATGCTCTCACAATGGCTTGGATAAGACCTGCTTTGTTCTGTAGATGAAGCTTACTGAAAAGAACATTATTACATTTTTTACCAGAACACAAGCTAATTAAAGCTGTACAAATATCATAGATATAAAGCTGTCTCTTGTGTATGTGGTTTTTAATTTTTTTTTTTAAGGCAGCTGAGAATGGAGCAACGGGTGTTGAGGTGGATGTTGAATTTACTGCAGATGGTGTTGCCATTCTAATGCACGATGATACAGTGGAAAGGACAACTGATGGGTCTGGAAGACTGTGTGACTTGACTTTTGATGAAATTAGGAAGCTTAATCCATCTGCCAAACACAAGCTACGGTAAATGAACTATTGCTATTCTGAAATTGCTCTTTGAACAGTGAAAAATACCATTCTTGAGAAACAGAATTACTGATTTGATCTGTCGCTGATGAAAATTTTTGTCAATGTAAAACTTTGTCCCATATGTTACTTTGATTATAGAAGCATGTGAGACTGTATCTTCTTACCCATTGTTACAATAGGAACAGTGAAGAAGAGTCAAGATAACTGGCTTTCAAGGACAAAATTCCCAGGCATCTAATGTGAAACAGGTCAATCTCTACAAAAGCTTGTTCTAAATTGACTGCAGGGCACTAAAGGTGCAGGGAGCTTCGTGATATGTCAAAATTGGCTCAAGGAATTGCTTCAAAAATTAATTTTATTTGCTTATATTTCTTGACTGATTGTGCCTTGGGGATTCTAAGCATTGTGTTTATACTATTGAAAAGTAGCTAGACAGATTT